AATCTGATGTTAGTTTTATAAAATAATTTTATGGATCACTTTTTTAGGGAGAGAACCAATTTTTATAAAAAAAAAAATTTCATAAGGGGTGACCGAAGGGTAAGCGGGGTGGAAGAACACAACTCTGGTGTTAATTTTTCCAAACTGTATAAGCAAAAAGTTTAGTATTGTAGAATACGATTTCTACGAGAAAGAGCTGAGCGAGTCCGCAGACGAGCGTTACTTGTATTTCTCTTATATAGTTTATATCATTACGTGAGAGAAAAGAGAGCCCATTGAAATTTAATGAAAACATATTTTTCTCTATATCATGAAATATTAAATTACATATTGATTTTATGGAAAATAATAATTTTATACATATTTGTAGAAATAAAACGAACAACAGATTCTCACTGTAAATTGATCAATCATTTGAAAACAAAGCAATATCCATATGAAAAATTAAAATTAACTACGCCCACGACAAAGATAACGGTGCCGAAAACAGCCTTAAACGGTTGAAAACAGGTAAAATACGGCTATATAAACCAGAAAATATGGATAAAAATCATATAAGTTGTACATATTCAAATAAAGAAAGGTAAACAAAAGATGTTTTACATCTAATTTTAGATAATAACATTAAATATTTGTCTTCTTTGCAGATTTTTTATCTTAAATTATTATGGAAAATCATCATATATTTCTATCAAGTCTATTATATTTGTATAAAAACGACTTAAGACATAACAACGATATGCTAATAGTTGCTAGTCACTATGTCTTTATTAAAGATGAGTTTATCGTTGATGGCGGAAATCGCGAAGTAAATATTTTATTTCCGTATTTTTTTAAAATTTTTGTTATGTTGTTATTAAAGGAATGTGAAATTTTGAAATTAAATACACCATTAAAGGATTCACTTTCAATTACGTATAAAAAGAATACATTAAGATTGAAAACAATATATTCAATAGATGCACGACATTTTTTTATCACCATTCAAGTAAATTTTTTTTTTAAATTTGTCTAAATATAAATGTTCCGTTTAGATTGGTAAGGATAAATTCAATGATTTTATTCCGGTCGCCAGTTATATAAATGAGAAGTAAGCTGAATCATTTTTTATTACTAATATTTTTAATTAATAAATTATAGAAAACTAATGAACGAACAGGTATTAATTCAACGAATTGATGACGTTTTGCATCGTAGCATTAGTGATCATACTAAACAAATTACTGGTCGTCAAGGTGCTGCTCAAGATGATAAACGTCATTAGTATATTACAGATCATAAACTATAACAAGACTTTGTTTTAATTGTATTATTTATTTTATTCTCACTCTTGTTGTCTAAATAAAAAGCTGAAAAGTTCATAGTTCTTCATCGTTAACATTTGTGAAAGAATAAGAAACCAAAATTTATAATCAAATAAATTGAAGATAAAAACCTTTCAGCGTAATTTCTGTGGGATTGAAAATATAGAACACAATAGTCTATTGTGGCTATTGTAAGAGATCTATAACCAAGATCTTTTTGAATATTAATCAGCGATCAGCTCTTTTTGTGTTAATGTCAATAGATAAATACATGAAACATCTAATATAAATGTTATCTCATAATAAATAGATTCTCTTCGATACAACTATATTTTCAAATTCATTAAGAAGTACCTTGCGAAATTTAGTTTGAATTATGGTATGACAATCGATATATTTTTGATAGATTGACTTATTGTTTAATTTTCAGAATCGAAAAAAAAGTTTTATTTTTGTCTTCGATATACAAATATAAAAACATTTGTTAAAAAACAAATAAGCGACAGATAGTTATGTCTAAGTATTCTTTTATAGTATTTTAGCGAAATATATTTTCTACATTTTTTGCTAACGTTTTTACCATTGAATACGAAGAAAATATTGAAAAAATTATCTTAAAATACAAATACACCATATTTTTCACCTTTGTATAACATTATGAAAACATTTCTATTAGATTTTTACAAAGCATCGTATTTCAATCATGATTACAAATCTACTATTAGCTCTTCAAAACTTCCAATATTTGTATAATTCTTCATTCATTTTAATAGATTTGTATTCTCTATATATCAAAATGCGATGTTTTAGATGACATTTTCTCTTAACTGATATTAAGTACAAATTTTTATAAATATTTTCGTACTATGTTTTCTTGTCAGACTTTATTATTTACAATAGTTGAAAGAAACAAACATAGAATAACAAAACATTATATGACAAAAAAAACTTATAAAAACAAAAATATACGCTATAGGCATTTATCGTTTCAATTTAATCGTATAACGATTTGTATTATTAACCAGAATATGTACCAGCACTTGTATCAAATGTTACTGTTGTATTATATGATACTGATGCATTGTTGTATGAATAAGTCATACTTGGTCCACTTCCCGATTCTATTAATTAAACAAACAGAAGAGAATTATTTTGCTAATATAAAGAAAAAGAACTTACGTTGTACACCAATAGTTGCTGAAGCACCTCCATCATATGTTTCAAAATATAAACATTTCACAATATTTGGTAAGTTTTCATAAAATATTATTTGAAAATGATAATATTGTGTCGATGCGCCAAAATGACTTTCATAAAACTCAAATGTTGTTATTCGATTAGGTGCTGTTCCACTAACAGCATAATAAACGCTTTGAGAACTACCACTAGTAATGTAGAGATCATCCCAAAAACCAAAAACTGTTGCACCACCAAAACTAGAACTTGGTAAGACAGTGTTTGAATATGCAGAAGAACAACTACCAAGACAAAGTACCTAAATTACATTGATTATTTAATAGAAGTGATTCTTATACAAGTGAATGTAGGAAAAGCTTACTCCATTACTTGACACAGTTATACTATTACTTGAATAATTATACAATGTAATAGAAAGTGGAAATACAACTGTTACTGTTTGATCATCAACACTGATTGAGCCACCAAATCCTGGAACAGGAATAGCACCAGAAAGTGCTACAGCAGGAGTTGAACTACATAGACCAGTCGAACAACTTGTATAATTAGAAGAACAAACATAACCAACTGATCCACAGTTATTAAAATCAATTTGAGTATTAACACATGTTCCTGAAGATGTTTGAGATAATCCAGTGGCACAAGTAACGGTTACTAAAATCGAGATCTATATATAAAAGAAATTTCATTATGTTCTTAACTTACCTGTTGTACTAGGTATTGTAGTCGTTGTAATACCAGAATTTTGCGATGCTAAGAAAGTTATGACAAGGGCTGGAACAACCCCTGCTCCCACTACACAAAGGCAACATAGGAGGAAAAAAAGAAGCTTCAAACATATACGGCGCCTGCTATATAAGACATAAAACATTAAAATTTTTTTAATATTTATTTAATAAATACAAACCTCGTATCTGTCTCTGGAATATTTGAGATGTCATTCATCTTGATATTAACTTGCCGTGGTGTTGATGCATTACTTATTAGCGATGCTTGTTGCTTTAAATACAATAGAACGTTTAGAAAAATAGTATTACTAAATGAAAACTAGAAGAGAGGGAAAGGAAAGAAGAAAGGGATATATTGTTTTTGTACAAATACATAGGAAACGTTTGAAAACTGAAACAACTAGTGTGAGTATATATATATGTTAATTATAATCGGTTGACATAAATCAGAAAACCTTTATAACAATAGAATTACATATATACAATTTATAATAGTCATCGTCTTTTAATCAATTTATTTCTCTAACATTATTTATATTTCTGATATTTCAACAATAGAATAAAGAAGAAGATTCATTTTCGAAATATTTTGTTTGTGGATTTGTGTTATAATTAAGCTTTACCTGTTGAGGTTGAGGTGGAGGTTGAGGCTTGTTAGGAGCTGTACTATAGGCAATATTCCAAACATTGGGATGCATTATATTATTGTACATTTCGATGTACAGATGAAATACTATTTCAATTACAACTATTAATACGAAAATGAATTTTTCGTTCGTTTTTATATAAGAATGGATTATAATAGCTTTGAGTTCTTACAACAATATAAAAACATTTGAAAGTAATGCTTGTAATCCCCTGAATTACTATGCCAAAAAGTTGATTTATTATGAAAATAAAAGTACATCAATTTGAGGACATTTTTCCATTATCGGTACACATAGAATTTTGAGTTGTCACTCTTTATAAAACAAAATACATCGTTTTGTTAAGAATGACGTATGTTAGTTCTTATTTTCTTCTATGTTGAAATATTCTGTTTTGATAGTAGCTACCACTTGAAAAATAAAATCAAAATTGTTTTCTAAGTAAACATAAATGTTTTTAAAAAAAAACATTTATAAAAATGGAATAAGATAGAAAGGCCTTTTTTGTTGAATTTTTAAATGAGTAATACGACTGATTATATATTATTAACAATCAATCAACATTCTTTCAGTTCAATATAATTTATTGTTAATTCTTTAGTCTCCTGTACCACAGTTTCATTTATATTTATCTAATTAATGGCTTTTTATCTTATAGTATATTGTTAATAATAATAAAAGCATGTAAAATTTTATTAATACTAAGAAAAATACAATCATCTTGAGGATGTGAGTGTGGGTGAATCGATGTAGATATAAAATAATGGCAATACTCACACCCATATCGTCACTCTCTTTGTGCCGTTATCTATTTCAATCCTGACATTTTCTTTCCTTCTATGCTCATAATCAGTTGCATTTAAAGTCTAATATTATTATTTTTGTACATAAGAAAATATGGGAATTTTTTTTAAAGAGAATCACATGTTACGATCAACTTGAATTTGAAAAGATCAAATGATGTACAACGTCTAAGACGACAGAACGCAAAATACTTCGTTTGCGTTCTGTATGGCATTTACGAGATGACATTTGGCATTGAAAGAGTTCAAATCAATGTGAGAGAGCAAATAAAATGAATCAATTCGATGTTCATCGATGGACTGCACATAAATGTTAGTTAGATGCAGAATAGTATTTTCAATTGATTCACAAGTTCATATACTTAATTTAACATCATATTTTTTGAAAAAAAAAGAAAAATCTGAAGTTTTTAATTGTACTCAATGTTGATTTAGTAATGAAATAATTCAAAAGATTCAACATGTGATTTCAGTATCATCATGCAATGCCGAAATAAGTATGAGAATTGTATTCCCTAGTTTTTATCGAATTTCAAAAAAAAGCAATTTGATTTGAATAATATAAAGACAAAACAAATCTGTGGATTTTACTTTTCAATCTGATTATTACTAAAAATATGATTTAGAATAGAAAAAGATTTTCTTTAAGAAAATAAATGTCAGCCAGTCAAAGTTTATGATATACAGAACGATTACATTATTATTGCCGGTTTTGCTCTATTTGTATAGAACTCATTTGGATCTGATTTAAAAATTTAATACAGGACGAGAAGCACGCAAAACAGTGTTTTGCATTGAGCGAAACTTGAGATCATTTTTTCGATTGATTAATCTCATATTGCTACTATGAACTCGATGAATTTTTCTTCATATGTGATTCTTAGCTATTTTCCGAGAAGTTTTGGTTTTCTAAATATCTAATATTTCTGTTTCTAGGATGCACCTGAGTAGAGCATTGAATTTTATATTAATTTTAGTCGATTATCTACAAATGAATTTTTGCGAAAAGTAATACAAACGTGGTTTGTCACTGTGTGAAAAATAGACTAAAATTTAGCAGTAAAGATTATATTTTCATTTATATTTAAAGTATTAAGAAAAATGTCATTTTGTTTTTTTTCTTCAAACATAATAATTATGTGAAATAAGTACATCAGCTAAAATTCCAAGTTGATCACCAGTAAATTTGATTCGATGTTCATGCAAAGAATCATGATGTGTACGACGAAATTCAGATAAACATTGTTTTATAGATCGCTAAAATTAGGTATTTTATCTATATAAGAATAATTAGAAAAAAATGCTTTACTTGTATCATATGAGGATCATGTGAATGTTCACAAAGAATCATTAATGTATCTGGTACATACGTTGGAATATCATATGGATTCGCTAGAACAATAGCACATAAACCCAAAATTCCTATAGTAATACACAATAATATAGAATTCATAGAAAATAAATCAATATCATCATATTTACCGGCATGTCTTTTGATAATATCTTTTGTAGATATTATTTTTTCACCGTTCGTAATTGTAAAATATGTTGTTTTACTCATTGATCGAAAATATTTCTTTTAGAAATTCTATTTGATAAAGTTCGAAAGAAAAGCTAAAATTTTTCTTACCAAATCAGTATCATTAACAGGAATAAAAGTACATTGATAGAAACCTGCTAGAGTCATTGATGCCATTAATCGTACTTCTAATCGTTCATCCAATAAAGATTTTAATACAAGTTTATGTAATCGTTGAGCATGGAGACGAATATTAAATAAATTCGAAAAAACAAAATATTGAATAAATTCTATTGCGGCTTGACGTGCATTCCATTTATTTATTGTACATACATATTCAAGTTGTTCAATAAGTAATTCTAATAAATTTTCATGTAAATAAGCCATACCAATATATGTTCGAATATCTATTAAATGATTTTTAAATCCATCATTATTATTAGCCATTATATTTCCAATTTCACAAAACTAAATAAAATAAGAAAAAAAACATATATATCATACAATAATTTGATAATATTCAAACAAATATACGTAGGAAAACATGCGAACAGTTGTATCTTTAATTGGTTGATTACATGTAGCGAATAATTGTCCTTGTATTGCAACAACTAGATTATATTGAAATAAAATAAATCAAGTATATTTATCATATGTTTAGACCTAATTCGATCAAATTCAATGCTTGATGAACTTCATCATCCATGATACCAGTTTCAGCAATATGATTAACTAAAAAAAAACGTTTTTAAAAAGAACTTTATTCACTAATTAATATACTTTACTTAGAGATTTTCTTTCACAAATTATTATAGCTTGATCTAATCGTTGATGCATTTCATCGATAAATTGATTGATAGTTGGATGACGTGTTGATTTTCCATGAAATGATGTCAAATCGAATTGTAATGCTATTGGTAATACACTAATAATAATAAAGTATAGAATTTCGATTTTTTCATGAAATATTTTTCTTTTGTTACGTAGCGATCATTTGTCGTATCAATTTCGATGGATGATCAAGTAATTCTTTAGCTCGTTCATAGATAGTACACCAAACAGATGGTATACGCCATTGAAAAACTGCTAAACTTTGAACAAGATACCATCGAAATGCTTCATTGAATGTATTGATTATTGGTTGATTATCGATCAATCTACGAATGAAATTAATTGTTTGAAATACTCGACGAGGATCTTGATTTTCCTTTTAAAATACAAAAAGAAAATTTAATTAAAAATTGAATCTAACAAACCATGCTATGTTGAAAACATAAACCCCAATAAATGAACAAATCAGGACTAAGATTAACACAAACTTCATTAAGAAATAATGTTAATTTATGCCAAAATTCATCAAGCTAAATAAAATTTGAAACAAATTCTTTTTTGAAAATTTCTTTTCGTCATACCATATCTAATGTCCAATATTTTGAACCACGAATCATTCCAGCTACAATTTCAGCTGCTAATCGATGTTCTTGTTTTTCATGTATCTTTCGATGAATAAGTAAATATAATTGTTCAAGAAAACTTGAAAAAAATGAAAGACCAAAATTACGAAAAAGACTCTAAAAATAAAATTATGTAATACATTATTATTTCTATTTATTGAATTAATTACTTTAAACATTGAAAATCGACTTTTATCGAATTTAATTATATCTTCATTATTAACATTGACTTTTATCAATTGAATTACAAAATTTTTATCAATGAAACGATTAAAAATAATTGATACTTGTTGTGACAAATGATTCGAATTATAACGTTCTCGTTTATTTACTGTATATTTTATTATTTTAGGCCATTGATAATAACCATAAAATGTTTTATTTAAAAAACATGTTTGTTCCCATTCATTTTGACTTTTAGGTGGTTGATAATCATTAAATGTTACCCATAAATTATCATCACGTTCACCTCCGTCATATTTTTCATTTCTATTATCAATTATTTCATCAATTGATTTTTCAACATATATTCGATCTGGTTTTTGTAAATGACATAAAGCTGTAACAATTTTGAATGCATACTAAAAAAAAAGAATCTTATTATTTATTAATAATAAAAAGAAAATACTTGTCGTAATTCTGCATTATCATGAATAAGAAAATCAACAGATATTTCAATAGTTGATAATGATATTGTTGTATCTTTTCGAATAAGTAAACATAAAAATGACATTGCAATCTTTTTTTGTCCCCATGTTCTAAAATAAATATTAATAAAGAGAAAGAGAAAGACAAAGAAAAGAATGAATAGACATACAAAATTTCTTCTCGAAGTAATAAATTAAGTGTATCAATTAAATTATAATAAGATTGAAAATTAATTTTCTGACGTTTTTCACGTATTTCATTACCAATTTCTATTTCATTTGTTTCTAATTGACGCCATAAATGAGTAGCTACAGATTGAGATTGATTATCAATTTTATAAATAAGTGACTGACTTTTAAATTCATTTTCAATTCTTCGTTGAATGGATTTTATTAAATTTTGAATACTTAGTTTATTTGTATGATTTAAACGAACAATTAATGGCCATAATTTTTCCATCATTATCCACGAATGTTTCAATGGTAAAAAGAATTTTTGATTACCAAGAAGAATATAAAGACAACCCTAATATTGAAAAGAATAATAATAGAATAAAAAAACAATAATAATAATAATAAAACTTTGATTTTATGATGATTTGTATTATTTGAATTATTAAATAATTCAATAATATGATCGAGAAAAATAGTCCATGATAAATTATAATGATCAACAAAATGAAAAAGTTCTTCTTGTGCTTTAATACGAACCTTTAGAAATGATAAATAAAGATTTTTTTTTGTTTATTTTATAATCTTTTTTACTTCTCTATATTGACTAATTGATAAATAAAATAATTTCAATCCAATTTCTTTATCAATTTCATTTAATATTCTTAAATTTTGTAATTCAAATTCTTCAATTTGTAATTGAATTTGTTTAATAGTTAAAAATCGAGGATAATCTTTTTTACCAACAATTTGATTTTGAACTAATTTTGTTATTGATTGAATATCTTGACGCATTTGATCAATATCATGAGTAAATATTCCATAATATTCCGATGATAATACACAAATCTAGAAACATATTTTCACTTTATTGAAACATATAGAATCTTGATCGAGACTTACAGTGAGAGCTTCTCGTATTGATAGAACATCATCCGATTGATTTTCAATAAGTTTATCTAAATAAATAAGTGAAAAAAGAAAACAAATATTGTTTAACTAATGAAAATAATTTACCAAGTAATTTTCCAATATCGATAAGTAGACGCATTCGTAAATTCTCTTGAAATTCTAAACAATAGAAGAATTAATATTTTTATTTGAATAATAAAAAAATACTTGTTTTTAAATTTTGATAATATATTGAATATCGACTTTGAGATTGTGAATCATATGATGTCATTGATTGAGGTCTAGAACAATAATTAATAATTAAAATATAATTATTTATTATTAAAATTTTCTTTCTTACAAATCTTCTATTTGTTTACTTTCAATCCGTGGTATTATACGAAAACATCCAATGACTATAGAACGAATAATAGTTAATGATCGTCGTCGTTCTTCTTTTGATAATTGTGAATCTGTTTTATTTAATAATGATAATTCGGCATAGAGAAAATCATTAATAAAATCACAAGCAAAATTAATTTGATTCATATTGGGAATATGATATTGAACTTTAATTTGATCAAAATCAACACTTTGTCCCCATGTCTAAACAAAAATGACATTCATATATAGAAGAACGATGATAAATTTACTCGAATAGGTAAGAAATCAATAAATGATCCATCAAGATTTTGTACAATTAAAGAATATTCAATTGGATAAATATATAAAAGTGATTGAAGTAAATGTTTTATTGCAAGAGCAATTATTTCATATGAATCAATATGAAGAATTTTAATCGAACTATGTAAACAATTTTGAATAATATCTTTATAAATAATTAAAATATCACCACGAGCTTGAACAAGTTCAGAAAATAAACATAAATTCCAAGTTAATTCTTGATCACCTTTATGATCATTTAATAAATTATCTTCTATTTTGGCATTAAAAATCTTTTCAATTCTTTGACATGTTTGTGGTAATAAATATTTTAATGTTTCTTCTGGATGACATTTAACAATTGCTCGAACAAGACCAACAACTAATGATCTTACTTTTGATGAAAATATTGAACCAGTTACAAAACGTGTTATCTTCTCTCGAACTATCTAAATATTTATATAGAAATATTTTCATCAAAAATAATCGAAAGAAAATCTTTCAAATGAATATATACTTGAAAAATGTTACTACTACATTGTTGAACAATACTTGTAATGATTGATAGAAGTTTCTTTTGAAAAATAGAATATTCTGTTGAATCTTCATCAATAGTCGATGTATCTGTAAAATCTGTTGATAAATTTAAAATTATTTCAAATATTTCATCAAGAAATCGCGTAATAAATTCTTCAAATAATCCAGTTGATCTACAAACTTCTTTTTCAATCTAAATAAAATATTTTTATTTATTAAAAATTCAATATATCATCATAGACATACTTCACTAAGATCATTTCGAATATCAACTGCTGATGAACAATCAATACATGTTATAAGCATAAGAATTGCATCAAGAAAATCAACTGTAATTGATGTTTTTTCTATATCATTTACATCAATACCAGGTAATACAGACATTAATAATGGTAAAACATATGTTTGGCCATGAGAATATGATGATGTTTGTCGTACTAATTGACGACTTATACGTGTTACACAATACATAAGTGATGTAAAACGATGAGCTTCAACAATTTCATCAATAGATGAAAAAAGTCTAATAAAATAAATAAATAATTCAGAAAAAATAAATTCAAATAACAAACTTATCAACAATTGGTGGTACAATAAGTTCTGGTCGAAGTATTGAAAGATATTGACATGTTTCAGCTGCTTTTTCCCAATGATCCTTATTAAATATTGATATAAATACATATTCTTTAATAGTATTAACAAAATCTGTAATATCTTGTTGAGTAAGTCGATACGATTCATGTGGTACGAAGAACCAAACAGATGGAGATTGACTTTCTCTAAAAAATATATTTTCATTAATTATTTTTTAGATATCATAGAATGATTTAATTTTATACAAATGAACACGATTAATAAAATGTTGAGCAAGATTGAAAAGAAAATCAACAAGTTGTTGTTGAAAATATCCCGTATTTGATGGATTATAAAAAGTTTTTATAGCAATTAATAAATCTTTTAAATATTCAAGACATGAACTTTGATTTCCTATCATTGCAACAATCCATTGTGTTATATCTCCCATTGAATAACTATATTTTTTTATTGTTTTTTGAATTTTACCAATAGGTAACGAAAAACCTCGTAGAATATGTGTAAATATCTAATTAACAAAAATTTAAATGAAAATCAATAAGAAAATTATAAAAACCTTAGGTAACCATTGTTCCCAATCAATATAACCAATATTATACCATGAAAGTCGACAAAATATATTCACTAAATACTGAATTTATTCATTTAAAATTATAAACATCGTTTGTTTTATATATGAGACTTACTAATTCCCATGGAGTTTCATTATTGATATTCTCCCAAATATTGAAAAATTCTGATAACCATAATCTATAAGATATAATAACGATGAATAAATTTAGAAGAAATAATCAACATACTTAAATCCTTGATCATGTAATTCTAATGGAAGTTGAACAGGTAAAAAATAATCAAATATTTTCATAGAATGAGACATAGAATGTGGATCAAGAGGACACAATTGTGGACGAATTTCATCAAGAATTTCTTGAGTAGCTCGCACAGAAAAATATGGAGAACAAACTAATGCACATGAAAGTATTGATATATCAAAATTTCTTCAATATGAAAAAAGAAAAATAGATTTATTTTAATGAATTATTTTACAAACTTTGGCAATGTAACTAATGTATAAGTTTTATATTTATTATTTTGAACAATTTTTGTCCATTGATAAAATATATGCCAATCAATTGTTAAATCATCTCGAGTAATTAATTGAGTCTTTCTGAACTATGTAGAAACAAAATTGAATTTATTTATCTATGAAAAAATCAATACGCACTGTAAAAGATCTGTGAGTAAATCAAAACAACTTTCTGCATCTGAATAACTTAAATCAGTTGTTGAAATAAGAGATAAATAGAATTGAATAAGTTTTAAATGATCTTCTTTAGAAAAATATAATCCATAAAGTGAAATAAATTCTTTTAATTTTCTTGACCATATTATAAAACCAGGGTAAAATTCACTGACTTGAATTGTACGTGAAAGATTTTCTCGAATTTCTTCGAAGAAAGAGCATGCTTGTTGTGGAATTGTTTCATGAAATGGTAGATGACGAAGATAAATATTAGCTTTTTGTATATTATTTTCATCAATATGTGAACATTGTTCAATACCAATCGAACAATTATTCATCTTTATTATACTTAAATAAATATATCTATTGAAGCCTTTTTATACAGTGATATTTAAAAAAAAGAAACGTGATACTTACTATTGAAATATAACTGTTAAAAATAATAGATATATTTTATATTTAGTTGACTATCAATCAACGTGACTCGTCTGTCATTGAAACGGTAGCAATTCGTGTTTTTCTTCCACTATCAATTGATTTGCCTTTCAAGACGAAGAAAACAAACTGAAAATTTGTTTTGCATCATTGATTTTTTTTTTCGGTTTCTCATATTCATTTTCCACGTCAATGTGCGTCAAAGTCACCTCCAAAAAAAATATCAATATAACTATACTTGACTAATTATGTTTTTTTTTTATAAAATGAAAATGCGCAAGACGATGCACTTATTCCTCGTGTGAAATATGAGGGTGTGAGTATTTGATTTGTATTTTCGTCTTAGACAAATTTGTTGATTAATTTAGTTGTGCTATCTTTTCTGCTAACATATTATATAATATGATCTTTGATTTTAAGGAATCATTAGAACAAATTTGAATAGTTTCATTATTTTCTTCTTTCATGTTAATATATATTTGTTATACCGGTAAATGAAATTTTTATTTTATTAATCATAAGATTTTCTCAATGAAGAAAGCAATGACAATAGATAAGAAAAAGCAATGATATTATGAAAGTTCTATACTGTTAGTGTCCTGAAAAAAATATTGATCGAATTCGAATAAATTGTTTTTGAATTGAACTTCGAAATTCTTTTCTATAATTATCCGATGGAATAACAAATGTTAAAAAAGTTAATATTGGTGGTATAAATGAAACATAATAACCAATCATATAAAACCATGGATTACGTGTTGTTCTCATACAACCACGAATAAATGAAAAGATTAAACGAGGTGTTCCTAATAAAACTAATGTTAATGGAGAAATTAAAAGATGTTTATGTCGATTTAATTGTTCTTTTAAATGTTGTTTATATGATTTATTTCGTTGAAGATTCGATCGACTACGAGTTACTAAGATAGTAATTATAATAGCAGATATTATATTGATCAATATTGGAACAAGAAAATGAAAAAGAGTTATGAAATAATTATAATTATAAACAAATGAAGGATATCGAACAAAACACCAAATTCGTCGATCATCTCCATCAATATCTTTAATTAATTCACGATAATATGGATCATGAAAATGTGAAATAAATGTTAAACTAATAACAAAACTAATAATCCATTTTGCTAATTTTTTACTTTTGATTTTATTAAATTTCGTACCATTCATTGTATTGATTGTTCTTTCAATAGCAACACAAGCAACCATCCATTCATTTGATGCTAATAATGATTTTAGAATCATATCAAGTGATTTACAAGCAAATAATAATTGAAATTCATTTTCAATTATACCCATTTGTGAAAAAATTAAATGAAAAAATTTCATAACTAATATTATAATCATAAATAAAGAAAGAATTGATGATATTAATAAATAATAACCACAACCAACTTGTAGAGAATTTTTCATATGAAATGTTAAAATTGATAAAATAAAATCAATTAAACCAAAAAGAAAAATAACAAGTGTAATACTCAATGTAATTTTAATAATTAATCGTTGATTAGAAAATGAATTTGTTGGTTTAATAAAATAACCAATAATTTGATCAAGTGATAAAAGATTTCCTTCAGTTGACATTTGACATTTTCCGCCATAATAACAATCTTTACAAACACAAATTGACATTGTTGGACATGTTTGATTATTTTGAAAACATTGACCATCATTTTGACAATCATTATGTCCATAACAATTTCCATCAATTGTATGATTAAATTCAAAACAATTAGCAAAACGATCAATATCACAAATACACATTAATGTTTCATCATAAAAACACATTAAATCACGTCTTTCTCGACATACATAAGAATAATATTTTGGATGATATTTTGTTTCATATTCAAGAAATGTTGAATTGAAATATTGTTTAACATAAGGACAATGTTGTTCCAATGAAATTTTTCCATTTATATTTTCCGATGGAATAAATTCTTCACGAACAATGGCTAAATAATAACTTTCATTAATTAATTGAATAAGAATCAGATGAAATTCTTTTGAAATATAAAATGTTATTATATTTTCATCAAATGGAATTTTTTTTAATAATGTTGTTCGTTCATATTTTGCATATTGAAATATTGTAATAAAATGAATAAATACAAATGATGACGTTCTTACAATTGTTTCATCTAATTTGAGATTAATACGAGAACTTACATATTCACAATTTAATCCAAAATATTGTTCATTACAATAACATAAATAACCTTGTAAATTAATTCGATCATCTCTTGGAATACATAATCCTCCATTTTGACATGGATTAATTTTTAATGAACAAATTGATCGTTTTATATAACATTTTGATCCAAATCGATCTATTGGACAAATACAAATATTTGATGAAAGACAAAATGAATTATTTGAACATAAACATTTATATGAAATATTACAAAATGGACCTGTATAATCTCGATGACATTGACAAAAATATTTTAATTCATTATTTGTATATTGAATACATTGACCATGTAAACCACATGATAATGGACATGATTTTGTTAATCGTTCTTTTGGAATAAATAATTGAGTTGATATTCGATTAACAGGGAGAAATTGAAATGGAATTGATAAAAACCAACTTGTCCAATGATTTAATGTTTCTTTATTATAAAGATCAATACGAATTGAATAATTAATTGAAGATAATTTTGGTTGTTCTGGATATAAAAGATAAACATGATATTTTATACGACAATCTCGATTTGGTACAAAGACAATTTCTTCATGATTACCAACAATTTCATTTTGTTCATTGATTAACATAATAATTACTTGAAAAATCGAACTAATAAATGTTGTACGAGGTGAAATAAATTGAATTGTAAGACTAATTCGTTGACTTTGCCATTGACATTGTGATCCATAATAACTTGGTGGACAAAGACAAGTTTTTCTTTCACTTATTCCAAATAAAATAAGAATTCCTCGATTACAATACCATGTTTCTGATATATTCATTGGATAATAAATCTCCTTATCCATTTCCTTTTCCTTTAGACGAATGTGTCTAACAGTCGAAAGAGATGATGAAATCAAAGGAGGATAATTACCAAATCTAAAAGAAGTTAGAAATCTTTTGGTCTTATCGCGATATCGATCTAATTCTAAAATGCACAAAGTTTTGTTCGTATTAAATAAAATAATATTCTGTGAACTTAGAATCTGAAGTTGAGGTATTTGTTCATCATACAAACATACATCATCATCAACTATCATCGATGATTGTGAGATAATGTTGTTACACATATTATTTGCATAAAGACATTTTGTTTCGTTCCATAAATAATATTTATTTTTATCAATAATACTTCCATTATTAAAATAAATTGGTCGATCTCCATACCAGTAACATTCATCATGAATTTGATCAACGAATTGTTTTATTGATAAACAATAAGTTAATTTTAAATCTTTATCATAACATTGATGTTGATTTAATGAACAATTTGTATCAGGACAATTTAATTCATCAATACCATTTGGACAATCCCAAATTTTATCACAATTAACATATGGATTATTACATGGCCATAATTCACAATGAGAACGATCTCTATCTATCGCTCCATAACTAGGTTGTGCTCTTAAACCAAGACAATATGTTGAATATAATGCTGTTTTATTAAAATCTTGTTTACTATCAATATCTTCATCTTCGGGCCTAAAACATTCCCGATATCCATTTCCAATGGCCACTGGAGATAAGCATATGCCGTTCGGAATTTCACATTGAAATCGAGTAGAATCATTGAATAAACAAGCAGAAAGTTCTTCATCTTCATCTTCATTAAAATAACAATCTTTATGACCATCTTGAACACGATGATATGAAAGACATTTTCGTGATTCTTGACAATGAAACTGGAATGAATTATTACAAGAATCTTCAATACCTTTTGTTAAACATTGTTGAGAAATGTCGTAAAACGTCGATATTAAATGATCAAAAGTAGATATTTGTTCATCTTTTGTTAAATTAGATGCAGAAAAACAGGTTAAACCATTGATTATTTCAGTAACAATTATTTGATCTTTTAAAATAGGACAATTTTTAATATTAAAACAGATCAAATCAGGTTTGATATTTTGTTTAAATTCTTCAACTGAACGATTAGTAAAATAAATCAATTGAAAAAAACCAAACATATTTGATCTTTTTGGTAGAACTAACCATTCTGATGAACATTTTTCTTCTAACGATTCACAATCTCTCATAGATAAATCATCAGAACGAAGAATTCTATTCAGAGTAATACTAAAATCTAAAAGAAATTCTTCAAAACAATATATATTTAAGAGTTTTTCTTACTAAGAGTTCGATTGTAATGTAATAAATAATAAAATGCTTCTCGACATTTCTCATCTTCAATATGTTTTAACGATGTAAACAATTCTCGAGTCAATTCTGTATCACGCTTATTCGCACAGAATGGTTGCGTTTGTGGCATGTATGGAGCATTAATATATTCACCATCACCACAAACAAATTGTTGAGGATATCGTGCAGTTCGTTCTTCACACCGAAATATTGGTAAATTCATACAATTATAATTATAGGATAATGGTTCACCAGCAGGTGGATGTGTATAAATATCTTTTTCATCACTTCCATCTAAACAATCGACACTAGTAGGATTTTCAAATATAAATTCCAAAGGAATACATTGACCATTATGACATCGATATTCATTTGAATTACACTGATTTAATTCAAGTTCTTCACAATGTTTTTCATCTTCACCGTTAGGACAATCTGGTTTTTTATCACAAATTTCACGCCAATCAAGACACATTGGCCATGAATCATCATTACAATTTTCAATAAATCGATAACATGAACCTGTTTTTATCGATGAACTGGATAATCGTTGACTAAAAGTTTGATTAACAATATCATTAAATGTTAACAATGGATCATAAGGAAATTTATATTGACATTTTGTTCCAAACCAAGGTAATGAACAATTATAAAGAAAACTTTCATTACCCATTTCATATTCTTCAATAATATCAATTGGTAAGAACCAATTGAGTAAATCTTCATCAGTTATATTCTTTTGTCTTAATTCTGTAAAACTAATCTTTGTTGAAATTGTTTCATCAATTGAATATGTTAATTCTTCATTATCTGCTCGTCGACAATAAGGAATTAAATAATAATTAGGAATATAAGGTGCGCTAATAAAAGATAGATTTTTATCCATATCCCAAACAGCATAAAGACAATCATATGAAGAAAAGACATGATTCGAATGATACATAATATAATGAACATTATTCATTTGATAAAACGTAAAAAAAGTTAAGAGATATAGAAGTAACATGTTTTACTAATCAATATACATTATGTTCATTACTCTACCTTTTATAATATTCTCAAACTTCCTCTTTTTATAGATAAAGATAAATGATAAATATTATTCTTATTTTTTTTACATTACTTTATAAATGAGTTTCCTTCTGTTACTTTTATAATTTGCACTATTAGTGTAATATAAAATATTACGTTAAAATCATATTTTCATTGTTAACTCAATTTTCTTTTTCTAATTTCGACATTTTTCATCAAACCCTCTTTTATAATATGAGGATATTATTCCAGAGTATTAGAACCAAGATTGTAAAGTCTACTGTTACAATAGAAAATTTCTTCGAAAACAGAAAAATCAATTAAAAACTTTCCTTCAGTATTCAAGTAAAAGAAATGAAATATGAATAACAGACTGATTCAATCTCCGTATGAATAAAAGAGAAGAACAAGTTGCTGGAAAAAAATCAAATCTATTAGCTTTTCAAATAGAAAAATTTTTGCTTTTCAATATTTGATATTTTTTTATTATGATTAACAAAGATTTGACGTAGGAGAAAATCATGTTCCATTAGAATATTCTATCCGTTTTCTCATAAAATAAAATATTTCCTCAAACGTAAATCTCATCTGTTCATTTATTTCAAATCATTTTTTTCTACGTAATAGAAAATTTCTTATCAATAGTTAATGAGTAAGAATAAAATATTATTTAAATCGATTAAAATTTCTTTTTCTTTTACATATAGAATAATTAAATATAAATTCAATTTTATTCATGTCATTTTTGTTTATATCGATCAGAAATAGAATATCATAATTCACGTGTTATCCATTTTAGTTGTACAATTAATGAATGAATATAAACAATACAAAGATGAAATTTTATTCGTATTTAATTTCTATATAAATAATAATAAAAATTGCACCATATGTGTAAAAGAAAAAGAATGATTGTTTACTATAATAGAGATAAGATTAGATTTAAAATTATACTGTTGGATTCATGTAAATAAGAATAATTTACCTTAAAAACATGCGATATATTAAATGATTTATTATTTTAAAACACACAATGGGATAGACATTATGTATTGATTTAGGAAAAAGAATGAGTTTTTACTTTTTCTACTTAAACTTATTCCTATTCATTGACGTTTCATAGAAGTAGAAGAACAAATGATAAATTAATTTTTTAAATATTCGATTATCAACTTGATCTTTTATCTTTCAATTGAATTTAATATATTTAATGTCAACTAAAATAAATTTATTCTTTATTTTTCTAATCAATAATTGAATCTTCTTAGCGATCATCATTATCCGATAATATATTTTCATTGAGTTTCATCTGATGTATATTTTTATATAGGTGTAGGTGTAATCATAACTATTATGTACACCCACACCCTTATGTATTTCTTTTTTTCTTTTGTTACTAACACATAAAATACGTCGACGATCGATCAAGGTTCATAACAAGTAAATCATGCATATAATCGTCATATAAAAAAAGAAGAGAATACGAGCAAGTAAATGACTCATGTGGGGGTGTTTTTTTCTCTGTTATATATAGAAGATATAAAAAAATCTCATGAGACATTACACATCGAATAAGTAAATGATAATTCAATCTGATGAAAGATAACATGGAAATGTCAACTCGAGGTGTAAATACTCGTCTATTCGTTCCACAAGATGAAAACAAGAAAATTGTTGATCCTATTATTGAATATACAAATGTCCCACTTGTTTCACTTATTGAATCATGTCTACCTTTAGTTAATATTATTCATAATATATTAGAATATGCTTCAACTGCAATAGATAATACTCCAAGTGAACCACCTAATAGATTAACACATAATGAATCAGCAGCAATTCGTCTTTATACAATGGAATGGCCTATTAAACATGATAGTTTATATTCAATTCTTAATTTTACTTTAAAAAATAATCTTGATCGAAAAGAATTAAAACCTTGGTATTCATATTTGAAATTATTTTTAACAGGTTTAGCTAAAATTCCATGTATGCCTGTTCAAACAGTATGGCGTGGTGTACGATTAAATATACGTGATCAATTTGAAATTGTAAATCCAGTTATTTGGTGGTCATTTTCATCATGTACAACAATGTTAACTGTATTAGAAAATGATATGTATTTAGGTAAAAATGGTGAACGAACACTTTTATCTATTGAAATTGTAAATGGAAGAAATATAAATGATCATTCATATTTTCCAAATGAAGAAGAAGCTATTTTATTACCAGGTACATATATGGAAGTTCAATCACAATTTAATCCAGCATCTGATCTTTATGTTGTTCATTTAAAGCAAAAAGTACCAAAAGATATTTTACTGGCACTTCCATTTCAAGGTAATTAACATATATATTGATTTTATTTTTATTCAATATATATTTATATTTAGATGCACGTATTTATCCTAAACAAGAGTAAGTTTGTTTTTCTTATCTAATCATCTGATTTAATCAAATATATTCTCTAGATCTCGATGGTATCGCAAAAAAAGATATCTTATACCAACAATCATATTGACTTTGATATTTATTGCAGCAATCATTGTTGGTTCGATTTTAGGAACAAGATCTAAAAATGAAACAATATCAAATACAACAATCATAAAAAGTATAATAGTGAATAATTCTTGCATGATTTTTTTTTAAATTTTTCATGTTTTAGCAAATCTATGTAAAAATCCTTTTACAATTTCAAAAGTTTATAAGACTGGTAATAGTTCATTAGCTGTTACAGCGGGTAATTTCAATAATAGAGGAATGCTTGATCTTGCAGTGATGAATTACATCGATAACGATATTACCATACTTAGTAATGATGGAAATGGAACATTTATTAGTGAAATAAAGTATTCAGTTGGTCGAAAACCAGGTCCTCTTGTATCAGGTGATTTTAATAATGATGGAGTATTAGATTTAATCGTAGGCAGTGAAAATGCTCCGTTTCTAATTATATTTCTTGGTGATAATTATGGATCATTTCATCCTCCAAAGAATCTTACAATTGAATATCCTGTTTTTTTATTACTAGTAGATGATTTTAATAATGATAATAAAGTAGATCTTATAATACTTCCTCAACCAAGTTATACGTTGACTGTAATGCTTGGAATGGGTGATGGAGCATTTCAGTTTCTAATGAATTATACAATTGGCTCTTATGTAACATCGATTGTGTCAAGTGATTTTAATAATGATGGAAAATTGGATCTTGTTATTGTCCTTGTTGAAGATAACACTATAGGTATATTATTTGGACAGGGCAATGCAACATTTGATTCACATATAATATCTAAAGTTTATAAAGAACCGTATGCGGCAACCACAGGTGATTTTAATAAAGATGGTATGTTAGATATTGCATTGGCGCATGTCGATGGTAAGATAGTTACTGTATTATTTGGGAATAATAGTGGATTATTTAAGACAAATGCTAATTATACTGTTGGAAAAAATTCTATGGGAATAATTTCAAATGATTTTAATAATGATAGTATATTAGATTTAATTGTATGTAATAGAGATAGTCAAGATGGAAATGTACTAATTGGAAATAAAAATGGAAGTTTTAAAAATGGAATTCGATTTGAACTTGCAATCGCTTTATACTGTTTTATATCAGGTGATTTCAATAATGATGGTATATTGGATGTAGCAATGCCAGATTCTATTGGTAAGACTATCCATTTACTTTTGGGTAATGGAATTGGAGCATTTCAAAATGAAATAATACAATTTGAATTAAATCAATATCCACTTCAACTAATATCGGGTTATTTTAATAATGATCATAATCTAGATTTAATAGTAGTAACTGTTACTAGCTTCGACAATGAATTACTTGACCAAAGCATCAATCTAATACTTGGCTATGGAAATGGTAATTTTTATAGTCAAAGAAGGTTTATGGTTGGTCATAGACCACGATCTATTCTATCAGGGGATTTTAATTATGATGGAAAACAAGATCTTGTTGTAACTAATAGTGAAGATAATACTATTAGTCTTTTACTTGGCTTTGGAAATGGTGTATTTCATAATCAAACAACATTTCCTGTTGGAAAATTTCCAACAACAATGATATCAAATGATTTTAATAATGATAAAAAACTTGATCTAGTAGTACACAATGTGTTTAATTATTCTGTGAGTTTACTACTTGGTATAGAAAATCGAATCTTTCAAATTCAACAAATATTTAATATTGATGAATCTTCATCATTATGCATTTCAGATGATTTTAACAATGATACAAAGCCTGATCTTGCAATGACTAATACACAGTATCATACTGTAGAAATATATCTTGGGAATAATAATGGAAGTTTTCAAAATAAAATAAGTTCTCCTACTGATAAATTTCCAGTTTTTTTAACAGCAGCTGATTTTAATGGTGATAAAATACTTGATTTAGCAGTGGCTCATGGTAATATAGCCAGAACAAATATCAGTATTGTACTTGGAAATGGTAATGGTTCATTTCGTTTTTTTACACGCTATATCATTTGTGATTATCTTTTAATGATTACATCAAATGATTTTAACAATGATCAAATAATAGATTTAATAGTATTGTGTAGTTTTGAAAAATTTATAATTTTACTAGTTGGAAATGGTGATGGGACGTTTACAAATCACAAAAAGTATCCACTTAACAATGATGCAATGTTTGCAATATCAGGTGATTTTAATAACGATACTAAAATGGATCTAGCTGTTACTAATAGAGATTCTGTTAATGTTTTTCTTAATTCATGTGAATAAATATATAAAGAAGATTATTCCTTTTGCTTTATTTTGTGTTATGATTTATTTCGTGCTTATAAAAGGAAAAATATTGTCAATTATTTTTTAAAATTCATCTTGATTATTTTTTATTTATCTGTTGTTGTATTTTATTTTTCTTCTCAAGTTTATTTGTCGAATCTTCATTAACACAATTTGTATCAAAACCAAAATTAAAATTCTTCCAAACGATCTTCAATTATCCGACTGACAAAATGAACCTAATATATACAGATAAAAATATTAGGAAAAAGAAACGATAAAGTCAAAAGATATAAGCGCGATATTGCATTGGAACAAAAAGTAAAAAATAAGAAAATTTATCGAGGTTTGAGCGTTGCCCAGTCGAATATATAATCATAAGAAAAACCTTGTCGATGACATAAACTACGAAATAAATCTCGTAATTGTCTAGAAAAATTCAATTCAATTTTCAAATAGAAATATAATCTTATTATTAATACATACGAATAATCTGGTTTATCAGTAAAACGTAATGAACGACAATATGTAAGATAAGTTTGAAATTCCGCTAAAATAAAATAAAAACGTTGTATTTAACAAAGAGAGAGAGACAGAGAAAGAGAGTTCTTACCAGGATAACCTTTACATAATTCTTCAACTGATGTTGACATTTTTTTCTCATTAATTCGTTCATATTTTTGACGTTTACTTCCATTTCTTAAACCTTGCCACTAAAATTTAACTTCTATAAAATCAAATTTTAAGATTTCAATTCATACCGGAAGACTACCACGAAGAAAATACATTAAAACATAACCAAGTGATTCTAAATCATCTCGACGACTTTGTTCTATTAATTGAAAATGAAATATTAGATTTTTATTTATTTTATATTATAATACAAACCAATGCCAATATGTGCATTAATTGATGCATAACGTGCAGTTCCTGTTAGACTTTTATCATCTCGATAAGCTATATGTTGATGTGTACGTGTATCACGATATTTTTTTGCAAGACCAAAATCAATAATATGAACAAGATTTCCTTTTCGACCATGTCCCATCAAAAAATTATCTAAAAAAAAAGCAATAGTTTATTTATATCGAGAAATCTACAGAAGAAATTATTCATACCAGGTTTTATATCACGATGAATAAAATTTCTTGAATGAACAAAATCAATTCGACTGATCTAAAATTGAAAAGAATTAAAATAAAAATGTAAGAATAAATCTATCATACCATTTGTTCAGCAAGTAAAAGAACAGTTTTTAATGAAAATTTTCTTTGACAAAGTATAAATAAATCTTCTAATGATGGTCCAAGTAAATTTAGAACCAAAGCATTATATTCTCCTTCTTTTCCAAACCATTTCAGAATTGGTATACCAACTCCACCTTGCATTAAACGATAGATTCGCGATTCAATTCGTAATTGTGGATGTTGTGCTTTAACATTTTCAAGTTTAATCGCTACTTCTTCATCAGTATTAATATTTGTACCAAGATAGATTTCTCCAAATGATCCTGAACCTAATTTACGTCCGATTCGATATTTTTGACCAATACGTACTAATTCCATTGAAATAGATTCCAACCGATTGAAAAGGAAAATTTATTTCAAATGAAAACTTTTCTTTTTTATTAACAATTTTCATGACTTGTTTTTGTTTGACGCAATTAATTAAAAAAATTGTTTGACACGTTAATTAAATTCATTTTAGACCATGAATTGTTCATTAGTTCTGCACGTGTCTTTCTTTTTTTTTACGTCAATACAAAGAGAAAAAAATTTTTATTTTTTTGTAAAAATCATTTCTGACATTTTTATTGATGTATAAACAAATACTTTGTCTCGAAAGAAAATAATTGTAATAGTTTGCATAAGAAAATGAAATACAGAACACAATAATGTTGCCCACATATCATTTATATACAGACGATACGCATTTGTTTTCACCACCGAATACTTTGTGGTATAACGAATGGAAAAGAGTTGGGTGTGAGTGTGAGTAGTATCTTCTTCAGAGGCTACACCCACACCCTGATTTTTTACTGATTGATTTAATTTCCTTTTATGTTTCCATCATGTTTATTCATCCATGATATATCATTTTTGTAATTTCTTCCTGGCTGATTTTCATCAATATAATGATTAAAGGTTTTTGAGTGTGTGGTGTAGGTGTGGATGAAATAAAATATATATGGATATCACTCAGGTTTTTAATAATGTTATATTACACTGAAAAGATTGCTTTTTTTTCATCTAGTCTAAGTAATTGATATACTTATTGCTTCTTGAAAAGTGTTATATTAAATGAGACACGTATATTTGATATTAAGCTCTTCTTTTTTATTAGCAAGACGTTAACATTACATTGTTTTAATTCGTTTGTTGTCGTCAAAGCAAATATCACAATAATAATAAAAATAAAAGAATAAGAGCACATGGGCACAGATGTGTTTATCGTAAAACTATGTTTTTTCTCTTTTCTGTGCCATTTATTCGGACATCGCGCTGTCGGGAAGCAAGCACAGACACGAAAAACAAGTAAGAAGAGTACGAAGAATTTTACGATCAACAATATAAAAGACGTTCGATTATTATTTTATTAATTCTGCTTCTAATGTAATAAAGAAAAAAGATTACTTGCAACCAAAATTTACTCGATTATTTGTAAAACATTGCGCAAGAGAGGCACACAAAACATAATCATCACGATGAAAGTGTAATATAATATTGTTTTGCATAATCTTTATACTACAGTTTTATTTTATGCATGTTATCAGTGCAAACGGGTTTTTTTCAATTTAGCCGGTCAATTTCTACAAGTACGATTCAGCTACGAAAGTGTGATTATATCATTCAATGCCTGATTCTTTCATGCTAGTCATTTGTATTACATCCACTGCACTCTTTGATTGTAGTGAATCTCACAACATATGGAAACGAGATGGACTTGAAGCATATAAGAAGCATCAACTTGATCGTGTTATGGAACCTTTAAAACCCGGTGTTGGATTTCGATTAGTTCAGTCGTTATTAAGCTTGAATTCTAGTGCCAATAAAGAATTGGTCGACGTGGTTCTTGTGTCACGTAATGACAGTAAAGCCGGAAAACGAGTTCGTAACTCCCTCAATCACTACAAACTTGGTATTACACGCATGTCATTCACGGCTGGTACAGATGTCACTACCTACCTACAAGCCTACGGATGTGATCTCTTTCTTACTACAGAAGAAAACCAAGTTCGTACAGTACTATCTGCTAACGCTCCAAGCATATTTAAGGGAATAGCAGCTGGTTTATTATGCAACATCACTGCTGAACAAGTGGATCTTCCCTGTGATGATTCATTGTAAGTTTATTTACATTTGTACTGATTATTATAGAGTTAAATATTTCATTTTGGATTTTTCTTGCATGAGTTTAGTCTAGATATGTAGATAGAAGGTCAAGAGCATCTATAAAGATTTCGTATGTTGTTTAATCGCTTATGTTACAATTAGGTCTACTGTGATTCAAACAACCGATGTTCAGAATGAAACTATGACTGTGAACGCGTCACAATGGCCAAAGGATCAAGTTCGTATAGTTTTTGATGGAGATGGTGTACTCTTCTCGGATGAAGCTGAATGTGTTTATAAAACCAAAGGATTAGAAGCTTTTCGACAGTCAGAACATGAAAAACAACATATTGCATTGCCAGAAGGTCCAATGCATGCGTTTGCTTTCAAATTGCAAAAACTACGTGAAGCATTAGGTAAAGATGACAAATGGAGAGTACGCACCTTTCTTGTTACTGCTCGTAATGGTGTAGCTAATGAACGAGCATTTAGGACATTGGAACAATGGGGTCTGGAGATCGATGAAACACATTTCTTAGGTGGACTGAATAAGACACCATTCCTGATTGCCATTGATCCAGCAATCTTTTTCGATGATTCAAGTGATCATATTGATCGAGCTAAACAACATGTTCCAGCTGCACATATTCTTTACGGCATTCGAAATGTGATACCTGATGAAACTACTACTACCACGATAACAGCCATATCGCCTGCAGTCACAACAGCGATTAAGGAATAACTGATGAAATATCATTCGATATGCTAATTAAATATACTTCTCTTCTCTTTATTTCATACTATGTGTTATTGTTAATTCAGCTAACTTACATGTGTATATTGAAATACCTATCTATAAAGAATTTTCGAAAGATAAAATTTTAGAGAGACTGAGAAAACTTCAAAAGTGTTAATGCTCGAGACTTTTCTCGTTAAACAGGCCTATTTTGTCAGTTTTTTGTTTCTGATACATGAAAACAATAGTTAAGATCAAATACTCTATTCCTTATTCATTTTACATTCGATATCCGTAGTAATACAGAATCGATGTGTGATAGATCACAATTCAATATAATTTATAAGAACTTATCAAAATAATTAAAATACAATAAGTCTTAGTGACGATTTGGATTCTACATTTGAGTCTAAAGTAGTGATGTAACGATAGTTGATGCGGAAAAATCTTACCTCCCTCTGCAAACACTTTAATTCTTCCGAAACAACGCTACAATTGCTGTAAATTTATGTGATCTCTTTTCAGGTCTGTTACTATAGTAGTTTGACGATTTCTACTAATAGTTTTTTACTTTATATAGATAAATATATCGACAATACCAGAAATATACGTATCTTATTGAATAAAATATAATATTTATAATGAGAACAATTAAGAATTAATAATGATCAATACGTATTATCATTCCAATATTTTTTTACTCATTAATACACACTTTTCGCTTAGATGAACACACCAATGATTGATCGATTAAATGTTGAGGATCTAAAGAATTTTTTAAATTTATCGAATATTCAAATCTTTCAATGAATTTTTATGGGGATGATGAGTTAAAAGAAGCATGCAGATCAGAAATGATATCCGATTTAAATATTATATTGGATCGGAAAACAACACCAGCATTCTTTTGTATGGTACAATATTACGGACGTGAACATGAACTTTGTGGCGATAAACGAAATTTCGAACCAGAATTAATACCATCACCAAATATAATTATTCAAATTTCAGCACATCATCCGCAAAAAAAACTACCAATAATGATAAAGCATGGTTTTTATTGTTACCAACACAATCAATTCAATACGAATGATAAAAAAGATTAAAAGACGAAAAATCTGACCACTTAGAAGTTTTAAATGATATTAAACAAGAAGAATTTATTGCAAGTATGAATATCGATGAAAATGTTTATCATCAGGATATCAATATATATTCACTAGTTTTCATTGCCGATACTTTATATGAAGAAAAGGAAGACTTGCTTTTTTACGAGTGTCCAGATCAATATTTCGCCAATATATGAAAAAGTTTTGTTTTGATGAAATTGTCGAATATTTCAGAGAGTACACAATTTAATGTAGATAATGAATGATAAATTTATATAATAAAAAGCAAAGCTATTCACAAGTAGACCATTATACAACTTTCAGTTTGATCAAATTTAGACAATGTTTCAAATCGATCCGGTACAACGAATACAAAAAATGGAAAATGATCACCATCTTGGGTGAGGGTCTATGTGGATATCTTATTTCATCCACACTCACACCCACCCTCGTAAGAGGCCAATCAAAACTTCATAAACAAGGACATCCTATGAGAATAATAACATGTACAAGAAACTCAATAACATCCGAAATATCAAAATTTGTCTTCATATAGTGAAACAATTAAACGTTGTATTATCAATACAAATGAATTAGTGAAAAAGATATCAAAAATAAAATAATGATATAGACTAATTAGTTTAAATATTGAAGATCTTTTCACTAATATCCCAACAAACAGAGCAATTGATATAGTTGCACATCAAATTGGCTATTCAGAAAAATTTTGTGAATCAAATTTATCTCAATTAGATATAAAACAAATATTATCATTTTATTTAAAGAATAGTTATTTTACATTTAACGATAAGTTTTATAAAAAAATAAAAGGTTTACCAATGGGGCATAGTTTATCACCATTATTAGCAGACTGATATATGGATGACTATAGTCTCAAACATTTCTATGAGATCAATAAAGAAAATAGATACTATGAATATGAAAAGATGAAACAACTCATTTTCATGGATGCAACATTAGCGAGAAAAGAATCAACCAACAATATAGAAATTCGATGGTTTAGAAAATCAACAGTCGCTAATAGACTACTCAATTATAAATCATGTCATCCATAGTCAATAAAATACAGCATAATAAAGAACATGATTAGTAAGATAATGGAAACAACACAAAATAAAGAACACTAAAAACAAGATTTAGATAAAATTAAACAAATGTTGATTCAATGAAAATACTCTAATGATGTGGTAGAAAAATGAATAGAAAAATATTAAGAACAACAACGAGTACCGAAATATCTAATAATACAATAAATAAAAAGAAAGTTAAGAAGTTTATATACCCTTTGACACTTGCTTATGTATCTCGTTCAGAAATACTCTAAAGAAAACTGAAGAAATTGAAGATCAGCTTATATTTTTCATATTCAAACAAATTACTTTCAACATTTAACAAAAGTATAAAATCAACATCCAAATCAGTCATTTGCAAATTGAATGTGAATGCAAAGATATTTAAAATGCTGAAATCAAAACAGGATTAGAAAAGAGAATGAAACAGCATGATAGAATAATCAAAAATGATGACGAAAAAGGTAACTCTGAAATAGTCTAGGGGTAAACATCGAACTTTAAGAGACTTCACAGGACTTCATGAGTCTTTATTCAGGAAGTCTCTGTTGTTTCCCCCTCTAAAATATGTCAACATCACTACAATAAACATTATCAATGTAGGTTTGATCCAGCTAAAGCTTATATGATAGATAATGAAATTGACCACAAAAAACGTAAAGTTAAAGAATTTATCTACTCAATCATCAACGATTCCATCAATAAACATGAAAGTTTAGATGAACGTTGGTATCCACTACTATATCATAAAAAAGAAAAATCAAAAGAAGAATCCTTGCAAAGAAAGAAATATCTCACAGATACAAATAAAATCAATAGGATAAGACAGTGGATAGTGGTACGGATCAAATAACTTACGCACTTACTAGTATCACCGTCTTATTCAATCCATACCATTATCAAAAAAAAGAAAAAGAGAAGAAAAAAATACGCACATATTTATATAATAAAGGACAACCGAATTTGTGCATACATGTCCTGGAGCAGATCAAATCTGACCGAAACTTCACCAACAAATGTAATGTTAATTCTAATTTAATTTATTTTGTTTTATTATTAATTTTATCTATATTTTATGTTATTCTAATTCATCTATCTATTTATATATATTTATTCCTTGATTTTGCCTTATATGATTTTATTTTATGTTAATTTTACCTTAATTCTTATCTGTATTTTAATTTAAATTCAATCTTAAATTATTAAAATATGTATACTAAAGAAGAGAAATAAATAATATTTATCGATATTCAAATCAGATTTAAGGACATTTAAAATCGTCGACTTGCCTATCAACTATCGTGATTACAAAAAAGAAACAACACGTGTATCACTTTATTGATGTAAATAAAGTATAAGATAAAAATAAATCAATCCAATCAGTGCAAAATGGTAAAAGACAAGTAGTATGTATTATTATTGACAAAAAATTCTTATAGTATTTTCTCAACTTATAATAATGATCTGAACCACACATTCAAAATTGTACACTATTTGAAGAATGTTGTTTTTTTTTGTATTGAAATCAAAACCCTATATGATTTGATGAGATATGACAGAATAAATTATTCAGTATAAATGAGTTAAAATAAATGCATCACGTTTTTTTTATTAGTTCGATGTTTTTACTATAAAATACTGAGAACTGTATATTAAACTATGAGAGGGTATTTTTGAGTATACGCGTAATGAGTGAGGATAAAAAAAGAAACATAATTAGTGAGGAAAAAAACAAATTCATGTGAAAAACGCCCTTGGCGTTCGATAAAAATAATATTTAGGCATAGTAAAGAAAATGATATTCGTATTAATGACGTTATATGTGTTTCAGTTGATTGATTTGATGTACGTCATATGTTGAGTATTTATTTGTGAAAAATTTTCATAGTTAGATATTATATTTTCTTCTATTCAAATCATTTCAAGATAAAATTAAAATGAGTGCACAACGATTCGATACACAATTTGATCGTGCTGATGTTAATCATGATGGAGGAGTTGATGAACAAGAATTTCGACAATTTCTTGGTCCCGTCAGAGATGAAAGAAGATTATCTGGAAATTTATCAACTCAAGATGTTCAACATTTTACTGTAAGTTGTCTAGTTATTCGAAAATTGTTTTAAAATTTTATTTCAAATAGGCTCATTCATCACAAGATGGTGAAATAATAACATATCCAGTAGGTCTTGATGTAGCTGTAGCTGGTTTTGCACCAGAAAATCCAATTTCATATGAAAAATTTACAGCAGGTGCTGCTGCAAATGAAGAACATAAATATGGTCTTGGTCCTGATGTTGGTATTGGTGCACCAGATGTTGCTAGAAAAAGTAATCATTATGATCCAGCTGGAGCTATGTTTAATTATGCTGATGTTAATCATGATGGAAGAATTGACAAACAAGAATTTGGTTCATTTATGAAATCTGTTTAAATTTTTTTTGTCATTCTTTTTTTATTGATTAATTCAGCATTTTGTTTAAATATGTTTTGTATAACTATAAGTGAGATTTTTTTAGTTTAATAAATGTATATTAACTAAACGATTCTATCTTATATTTTTCATAAAATATTTTCAATATGATTATCGAAATATTAGAAAAAAATCATTTAAACTACGATTTAGTATTCAAAAGTATTATATGATGTAATTGAACGGTTTACAAGCGGAGCTCGTATTATTTCTTTCAGAAAAGGATCAGCGAATCTAAAGGATGAGCGTTTTTTGTAATTTATCGATAGCTTGAAAGTTCTATTTTCTATATAAAATCATGATAAAGAGATAAGTAGCATATTCTTTCTCATGATCTATTGTTTTCTTATTTTACATTTTTAAATGCGGACATCATTTGCAAATACATTTATAATATTTAAATGATGATCACGTGTTTACGATACGCATGTATACATACTATTAGTACGATGTTTATGATCGAATAATGTATCATTATATGACGATAGAATGATAAAACGATTTATATATTTATATGAATAACCAATGAAAACAAAATCCCACATTTATATACGTATATATTTTCGTTGAGTTTCTTCATTATTCGTAAATACGCTAAACAAACGACGATCATGAGTAAGTTATACCTAGAAATATTTTTTACTGTACAAACAAGTAAAATCTTTGTTTTTAAATTTTGTTTAGGTTTCATTAACAATGCTCTCGAAAAAAAGACTGGACTTGATTTGAATCATGATGGAATTGTTGGAAGTGAGAAAAATGCTGAAAAGCAATATGGTGCTGATTTGAATGGTGATGGATATATTGGAGGCGAAGGTAAATATTTCTCATATATTTTTTCTTTCACGTCTAATATTATTGATTAGGTATACAAAGTAAAATCGAAAGAACAACTCATGTTGATCTGAATAATGATGGTATCATTGGTCGTCAACACGACACATATCCTGGTGGTTATGGAAACCGTCGTTAAGTTTATTGATCATTAATGAACTTTATAAAAGAGACAAATTATTTTTATTTATATTTTTTGCATTGCTTCCTATTTATTATGTATCATTTTTCTCATATTTATTATTAAAAATCATAAATATAACAAATATCTCATCTGTTTTTTCAAAATTGTTTGTAGTAAAGTTCGTGTGTGACAAATATAACAATCATTAAAGTATGGTCAAGTAAAACTGAGAAAAAAATCTTGCTAATATGCGTAAATTGCATACTCTTAATTGGGTATGTACGAAAGGTATAGTGTGCAGTATTTTATATCAATATATGTTTGTTGTATTGCGTCAGAATGAAAGAAAAACAATCATATATAAATACATATTCATTACATTGAAGTATTTTTATGTACAATAATATATTATTATTCCATGGATTTATGCTGTGACTTTGAGGGTGTGGGTATGCGAGAAATAAAATACTTACAGCCACACTCCAGATAATACCTAAATGTCTCTATAGTTCTATACAACGTGCTTTTAATTATTTGATTAAAATTCAAAAAATTTCATCATATTTTTTCTTTTCATCGTATCATCAATGTGATTAACGTATATGAAATAATGAATTTCTGATCATGTTGAGTGCTTGTAATTCCTAAAGCAACATATCTGTGATCAGAAGATATTGCATATGAAAATTATGTCCTAAGAAAAAGTTTTATGTTTTCGATTGCATTTATAGGTTGTTTCAGTTCTTTTCAAATATTTTCTCAAAATGCATTAGCAATGACGTAGATCGAAAGGTGTATAATCAATAATTCATTTGAATAAAAAATCACATCATAAGAATTTTTTGCATTTTTTAGAAGTGAAAGTAACACTTCAACAATTACCGATATGAATCGTTCATCATCAGTCAGAGTTGTTAGAATGAAGAAAAGACCAAGACACAATCGACATCATTCCCATCGTAGAAATGTATGTTGAATTATTATTGAAGAAGGTATGAATCTATGAATAATATAACTTCGAAAAAGTATAATCAAATCATATCATGCATTTATTTTCGTGTGTAAATATAATATATAGCTATAGAAATAATATAAGGGTGTTGGTGTGAGTATACTGCATATCTTACTCACATCCACACTTTGA